ACACATACAAAACAGATAAGTACATTATATATATATATATACATATAGAGAGAGAGAGAGAGAGAGAGAGAGAGAGAGACAGACAGACAGACATCTAGGACTAAACCCTTTTTGCACAGCTTCCTTGCTGAGGCCCAGGCTTGGCTCGCTGGTTCGGCTCCGGCGCGCGCTTCGTCGGGGACGGCCCAGCGCGGCCAGCGCTAGGCTGTCCCTGCGCTGGGCTGTGGACGAGGCGTGAATGTGTTAGGGTTTAGGGTGTAGGGGTTTAGGGTTTAGGGGTTTAGGGGTTTATGGGTTTAGTTAGGGTTTAGGGTTTAGGGTGTTTTCACGCAGAAACGGTAGACCATTGTATGTTGCCATATGTGTAGCCGGCAAGCAATAGACTGGTTTCAATGCAAGTGCCAGAAGGGCTTAGGAGCGAGGAACTTTCCGGACCGCTCCCAAAACGAATGTGCGCCAAAGGCACTGGCCATGTCAAACTGCAAACCTTAAGCCTCTTTTGCACTTGAAGGAAGGATCTGTGAGCAGCTTTCAACCCTGAACGAGAACCCTGTGAAATTTGTGCCTGCATATCCGGCGTGAAGCGCGGGTCCGAGAAGAGCCTTCAAAGCCCGTTGGGCTGGTAGGGTTTTTAAGGCCGCCGCGCAGATAGAAGGAGATTGGGGAAGTGCTCTCCCCTCTGCCATACCCTGCAAGGAGAAGCATGAAGCTTTTGGCCAAAATACGTGCGGCACATCGCCATTGAGGATGATTTCAAGAGAGTGATGATGTCCTTAGAACATCTCGAGAAGCTCTCTAACTGTCTAGTCTATATATTAAACTTGCATGTGTTTACGTAAAGCATGTGTGTATAATGTAGGCATTTTGCGTATCCCATAAAAGGCAAATAGAAGTATAATAAGTATATACATACGAAGACATGTGTATACATATACACGTACATATATTTACGGCTGCGCGTGCGGGTGAAGAGTAACGGCTAAAGACTTTGTGCAGTTATGTATCTCTCGAATATTTATCGTGTATGCAAACTGCGTATGTGTGCGTGCATCTATGCAAGGCGAACCTTAACCATTTCGTCTCTTCGAGAACCTGTCAAAGCGACGGTCCTAATCAATGGAGCTCGCGTTACCACCGATATCATGCTGTTCTTGCATGTTCTTGCTTTGAGCACTCTCCTTCTGATTACCAGGACTGCTGCAATTGTACACTACAGTGGCTACTACCACCAACCCCATCCGCCACACCCAGCTGTTGTCAGCACAGACTCCGCATGCAGCTTGTCGGTGTTCTTCCTTGTGCCGGGAAGGCTCATGCAGCTCGATACACTTGCACTAGCCCACGCTAGACAAATTCAAACTGTGCAATCCCAGGTACTCCAGGAAGGACAGCACCTGAGCAGATCAAGCAACCCTGGCAAACCTGGTGATTTCGGAGTGCTCTTGCATTTGCGACCGCGTTCCGTGACCTTGCTCATCAAGTGAGGTTGGCACATCATACACCACCTCTCCGGCATAGTGCTGTACAGCGAAGTTGGTTGATGCGAACCGCGAGGGCTTGTAGACCTAGCAACCAGCCATAGCCAGTCGCAGAGACCAACAGTCAGCTTCGACTGAGCAGGGAACGACCTTGGAGTTCTTGAAGGTGTTGTAGATCTTGCCTCAAGCGGCCCCGAAAAATGGAGGCGGGAGAGAGTTGAAATTCAATGGGGCAGTCCTTTTAACGAACCGGTTGTACACCGAGCAGCTCAAGCAGGTTTGATCCGTGGAGCTTGGCATAAGGCACTCAGAATCGAGAATGCAGAAAACGCCCAACCTCATGGACACGCATGTCAGCAACAAACACTCGGGCATGCCCATCCCGCAGATGCATGTCGGCATCTGTTTTGAGTTTGTGCGGGAGCTCTTGACGAGGCGACCCGGCATGTCTCTTCTGGCCCCACGATCAACCAATGAGCTGCTGAGAGCCTGGCGGCCTCTTCTCCAAATTGTCGATAATTTCTTGATTGTCTTGCCTTTGACGGGGAGGGGGCGGGGGGCATGGCGCGAGGGATGTGGCTTGGGTCAGCTCCGTGTGCGAGTCTGGTGGTCCACCTACTTTGGCCACCCTCCAAGTCAATCTGGCCGTTTAAGCCAGCACATGCCTTTGCTGAATAAATCTTCAAGAAACCATTGTAGGTCACCCTGTAACCCCTAAACTCCAAAGTCTAGCGCGTTTTCTCCTCCAAGCTTCCACTGGATATGGCTCCATGAAATGCCTTCTTCAGCGTAGAGCCTCTGCTCCAACGTGAACCTGTCAGTTGCGTCCGATGCAGCATCTGGATCTTGGGGTTTTCGGTGTAAAGCTTAAGGAGCCCGAAAGCCCCACACAACATGCGGCCAAGTGGCATATGTGAGTTGAAGTGCTGCTGGAGCTTTTCGTTCGCGAAGTTGATGCACAACTGCCTCGGGGATCAATCAACTCTTGTCCTCCGCTTAGCAATACTTTTGCTTGCAATAGTCGGGACTTTGTGGTGGCAGGAAGTAGCTTGATCATCCCCTTGCGTCTGCGTGTGTGTAGGCTGGTGGGCAGGTATGCATCCGTTAATTTGGAATTGCAAAACCATGCAAGATCTGAGCAGCAAGGCCAGCGACTAGTATGATTGATACAACGACTATGGCCAATGTCGCAACGATGGCTCAGCTTGCCGCGGTTGTGCTCATTGCAGGTATTACCGCCAAAAGGCATACTCCTGTTGCTATCCCGGCAATAATGATGATGATGATGACAGTAGCGCTGCTGAAAACCATGCCGACGATTGCAGATCAGGCTCTCAAACGAGTTCCACTCGAACACTTCGAAACCGTAGATATCCAGAATTCCAATCTTCTTTGTCGCATCCTGCACAGGTTTCAGACAAGCCGACTTACTGCTGGCTCGCCAGGCCGCCAGATCAAATTGGGTCCTTCTTTGGCCCACCTCCCTTGCCGGCTGTGCTTTGGTTAATTCGCCACACAAGCCAGTCGAAGAGACGAGAATACCTCAGGTGCACAAGCTCAACCTCGCCAGCAGCACGCTCAGAAGCAAGCCGGGGGCACATCCACAAACAACCGCGGAACTCGCCCCCAAAAGCACGGGGCGTTCGAGTCCGGTTTGACAGTCTCGTCTGGCGCGTTGTCAAGGGTTCATGAACAAGTGCCCGGGCCCAGGTCGGTCAAACTTCAAACAATGAGCCGCTATCATTGCATCCGCTATCCGTGCTGCTCATGAAGTTGTGTCAGATGGGAACCGAGCCACACTCTTTTCGGACTACTTTAGGCACACGACAACCCTGAAGCTTTCCCAGCTGAGCTGCAAATGCTTTGCCATGGCATGGCGGGTATTCGAAGAGCTGGCTGGATCCTCTGTCAAGTGACGTGCCGCAATTCACCATTATGCTGCTAATTATTCATCATCAACATCACCATCATCATCATCATTCTCCTCGTCATCAGAATGATGACAACTTGTAAACAGCAGCGATGATCATAATAGTTGTAGCAAGCATCATGTGATACCTACGGTAATGGTAATACTAATACTGGTTTCGATAAGAATCTGCATCATGTTCAGGGTATTAACTAGCTTGGAGCTACTACAGCACCATCATCAAGCCACCGCACCAGTACAAGGATTCGCTTACAACAGTGGCACTGTTCTCCGCGCTCTCCGCGGACCTGGGGCATGTTGATCATCTTCTTGCTAAAGGGATCCTCCATGGTTCGGTACCTCTGTGGCTTGCTTGACATTTCCGGGACATGCTCAAGGTAGACGAGCTGGAGGGCACTGGAACGTGTTGGTGAAAGCTTCTTTCGAGACTTGCAGAAGCTCACACATTTTGGCGGCGAGGACGGCATCGCAGATTCGGCTGCCATCATCCCCCTCCTGGCCGGAATTAGAACCACGTGTTTAGCTTGAATTCGGCAGCCCATCTTCTAGAGCTCACCACGAATCTCCTCAAACTGCATGTCTCCCAGGTGAATTACCTGCCGAAGCTTGTCGAAGTGTACAAAGACTGCCCCAAGAGTTTGATAATGGCATATTGCGAACAAGGCACTGCAGCGACGAGCTGGAAAACGGAGTTCTTTTCTTCCGTGCTGAACCCAAGCCCATCCATGCACTCGACGGCTTCCTGCTCTTCATCACTGTCTACAAAGGCTGGATGCAAGATTCAAGCACGGAACAACCTCGAACATGCCAGCGTCGTCAACTCCAGGTATGTCTGTGCATACCTCACAAGCACGAACTTCTTGCTGAAGCTTGGCCGGCCCTGGTTGATTAGATCTGCGGCTTCTTGCAGGAGTTCAACAACCCTGTGGCGTGATCGGCAAGTTCACATTGCAGTTGCGACACAGATGTGTATGCGTGGTCATACGCTGCACGAAGCCCCAGCATGGATCCGATATCGGGGAGTGAGCGTGCCCCAGCGCAGAGCTGGTAGAAAGCCTTAGAGCCCCCCCCTCTGCAACACCCCGGCTAAGCTGAGAAAGACCTGAGCTGGTCACATGGTAGCCCCGCTCGTCCGGCTGCTGCTTTACCTGTTCAGACGATGTGAGAGCGAAAGCTAGGCTCGTGCAACCTAGGCAACCTAGGAACAATGCGACTCTTCTCCAAAAGATAATTCGAAATCCTCGCGCTTTGCAACTTGCCAGACGAATCGAACCTTGGCGCAAAGACAGGTTCTCTCAGGCTCTCTGTGGCTGTTCGCGTCTTCAGTACTTAAATCTGCTGCTGGCAAGCACAGCACAGTCTACCAGTGGAGTCTCGAGAAGATAAGCAACTCGATGTCGATGAACTTCCCGAAGCGAGAGGAGTTGTCGTTGCGGATGGTTTTCGCCTGCAGCTCTGAAACTCTAGCTCTCTACACGCCTATACGCCAGGGATCCCGTAGAAATACCCAATGGCAGAGGCACAATCTCTGAGTGACAGACATTGCCGAAGGCTTCCAGGATGGGATTGGAGCGGAGGACTTGCTCTTCGATACTCATCTTCTCGTGCACTGCCGAACCTCACAAAGAGCAGCAGCAAGCAGTTGTGATGACGGCGATGGTGATGGTCCAGTGATGGCGGTGTGGAGAATTATGATTAAACATTGGTCTGATCGGTGTTGGCACGATGGGTCACAAGATTCCTGCTCGACACCTCTGCCAAACTAATGCCTAGATGCCGGATCGCTGGAGATTTGCGAAGTACCTTACAAGCGCCACGGCGCACTACAAAAGGAGCGATCATCTACGGCCTGAGACAGATCGCGGCCCGGGCACGTCAAAATCCGCTTTGTGGCTTCCGTTTTGCCTGCGCCGCTTTCTCCAGAAATGATGATCGACCTGGGTGTCACAGCATTGAATTCAACAAAAAGGCCAATCATGTCGCCCATCTGAGGAAGAGCAACCTTAAAGCTTGTTATTATTGTTATTAATAATTTTCATATTGACTAGTATTATGGCTATCATTATTAACTAGTACTAGTACCAGCAAGTAAGTGTGTTTAAAAGTAGTTTTGATTATTATTAGTCGTAACAGTTTTTTGTAATAACTATTGTTCATAATTCTGATGATTATGATTACCAGTATATTACTATTATTCTTGCTCAACAGTGCAGCAATGGGGACTGGTTCCGGGCATCGCTCAGCATAGTGGTGTACGCAGCGGCCGCCACGGAAAAAAGATGAGGCGGGAGATCTGATTCATCGCCCGATGCACCTTCGCGCATTTTCACCACTGCAAGCCGAATTTTGATGTCACCTCCGGCCTGCAGCAGCAGATCGATCCCGGTAGAATTTTTGCTTCGCTTCGGAATACAGGCCCGCGAGATTCTGGAACGGATTTACCTCGCATGCCCAATGCGTTTGCGAAACGAGCCACGGGCAGAGACCATGGTTTGCAAACGGCTTCTGAACACCTGCGAAGTTTAAAGATATATGGGCACGTCATCGGTAACACTTGCTCGTATGACGCAACTTGTTAGCTACAGGTCAGTTAGATTCCAATGCATGCAACATCATGTAACGTGCATATCTCAAGGCGGCAAGGTTGCTGAGATGAGAATTGGACCTCAAGTGTGGCAGACCGGAAGATGTGGTTGGCCCGGACATAAAGCCCACTCATTGGCACGCCCGCACGCTGTAAGGACTGCACTGCCAATGCCTGTGTAGATTAAATCGTCGAAATATCTCTGACGGACATTGTGCAAGAGTGCCCCCTCGTTAAAATCGCCCAAGGACAACCTCGGTTCACATGAAGATAACTGGTTCATCGCATGACCTCGGTGCTGCTTCAGGTAATGGTCCTCCATCTTCGGCAAAGCAACAGGTCCTCCACCCCTTTCAAGCAATTCGGATCCACGGGTCTCGCCTTCTCTTGTGGCACTTCGAACTTGGACCCCTGGCAAACGAGACCGCAAATCAAGGAAGCAGCTGCAGTTTCGACACATTTGCACCTGGTCATCGACCACAATGTAATTACCTCGGTCCCATCCGCAGCTGTGCTGCCGACTAATGCCCCATCGCTGTTCCATATACCAAAACCCCCTCTCTGTAGCTGGCGCCAAGGCGCCACTTGCCCCCACCGAGTCGACCCTGCCAGGAGCCCAGCCCTGACCAGTTCATATGGGTGTGTGCGGGAGAGAGGGAGAGGGAGTGAGAGAGAGAGAGAGAAAGAGAGAAAGAGAGAGCGAGAGAGAGAGAGAGAGAGAGAGAGAGAGAGCGAGCGAGCGAGCGAGCGCGAGCAAGAAAGATGACACATCAGCGATGATGATGTATCTGATGTGCGCATTGCGGC